CAAAGCTATATATATACTTATACTATATAGATGATGTTTATGTTTTTTTAAAGCTTTATATTTTATGATTTGACATGGATTTTGACACCATTGGATGACAGAAACTATATATTTTTCCTGTTTTATAATTTCACTATTTTCAGTAGGTTGAGATATTTTATAAATTTTTTTTGGAAATACTATAAATAGAAAACCTATCTTTTTATGCTAAATTTAGTTTGCATGTCATTCACTAGGACTTTGTTCTCATCACTAATTCTCTTTGCAGATTCTAGTAGCTAACTTTAGATGGCACTACTTTCAACATTTTCCATTGATAAGCTTATGTTAACAAAGTTGGCCAATCTCATAGATTATACTATTTGCATTTGTATTTATTTTACTTTGGAAAGGTTGAGAGGATGTATTATGTATATTAAGGGATAGCAATCATGAGACAGTAATATTTTGAGTTGACAATGTATTATTAATTTCTATGGTTGGTGCTATGTGGTTCCTAGATTCAGATAGTATTGCTACAGGTTCATAGATCATTTATGGCATCATGGTACATGAATTTAATAGATATACGAATACAAGGTTAGTTAAGCTATACAGGACAGGAGTTACACTAGCCGATATACTACTGTGCTTATAGCATAGTGGAGTGTTGGTTGATATCTTAGTTGTCTTGCCTTGCTTAATAAATAGGGTGGGACATGGTAGTTCATTTCGGATGAGGCGTTTGAATCACCTTCCAGTGATATCCTCCATATGCTTGTTTTTTATTGCAACTTTCCACCAAGTCTTTGCATGACTTGTCAGTTTTGAAGGTGTATAATTTACCTTTTGAGAATTGATAAATTTTTTGGAGGGTGAAGGATGACTTTAGTTGGTCTAGCCATGACTCCAGTAGTTTAAGATCCACCATTTCGTCAAAGACCAGTATGTCCACATTGGTTGCCACTTTGAATAACTTTTTGAATCCAGGGTGATAGTGCTCGAATCACTATTGCTAGTAACATCGTCATTGTCACTATTGTCATCATGATTATCTGATCTAACATCCAATTCTTTGATTAAGGCTAGTGTAGGGATGTTCTCGCTTTCTCTTGGAGGCATTGTGGGCTGGTTTTTAATTTAATTGGGTATTATCAACATGTTTACCTATAGTTTAGTAGCTTGTTCAATAAGATTATGGTTTGAGGAGTTCGATGTCTTATTGTTGTTTTACTATTGAATCTGTTGTAAATTGGGCTGGTCAGCGAAGAATTTGTAACACTAAAAAAGATTGCTCAGTTGTTTTGTATCCATATTTATTTTGCATCATCCATAGTTAAGATTGATGTTCTAATACTAAATATATGATCTACTTGAATTTTGAGAGCAAAATAACATCCAAAAAAGAGTCTGAGTGAGTTGGAGGAGACCACAATCTTCATTTTATAATGCAAGATATACTAGAGGTTGTAGGAGCTCTTGGAAGGCTTAGAAACTCTGAAACTTGTTGCAGTGTGCTAGGCACACTTGGACATGCTTATTTCAATGACTGGGGTGCATTATACCACACCTGGATAGTCTCCAAGATACTATAGTGAGCTACAACAGCGCTGTAGCACTCTGTTAATAATATTATAGTAATTTTTTTTTTCTTTACAAAACCCACTCATGCTTAAATTTTCAAATAATTAGTCACCAATCTCAAACCTCCCAAAATTCTCCCAGTTATAAAGAACAAAATATATTAATTTTAAGTGTAAAAAGGGTAAATTACAAATCAATCAATTTTGATGGGCTAGTATGCAAATAGCAAAAGTTTCTATCTGCAATTCTAAACTTAAAATCAGAAGCAGCCGACGGTGAAATGCTTTGTCCACCTTTCTTTTTCTTTTTCCTTTTCCTTTTTTTCTCCCTCTCTCTTTCTCCTTTCCTTGGACACTGCTCTCCTGGGTTTGCATTTTTCTTCCTCCTTCCGACTCCTGCTCTCTCTCTAGTTCTCCCTTTTCTTTCTGTGTTAATGCTTATACAGCCGATCAAGAGCTCCCTCTAGTTGGGATTCCTAATGCTTCGATTTTCTTTGGATGAGGATGGCCATGAAAAAGCCAACCGTCTCCAGACAAGTTTCAGCTCAAAACAACTCCAATCTGCTGACTTTGGATAAGCTTGTTGCTAAAGATGAGGAGGAAACCGGTGAGTAGTCCTGTTGGTTTTGGAATTTAAACAAGATTTACCACAGCACGCTGCGGGGCGCGCCCAGAGAGTGCTAGGCGTTGTTTGTCCTTATCTTGGGTGCGCTACGGCACTCCCCAGACTCGCTCTAACGAGCCTGGACTCTGTTTGTTTGATCAGCCAGCGTGATGTGGCGCTCTCAGGCATGCCATGACGACGTGCTGTTTTTTTTTTTTCAAACACAAATACAAATAAAACTAACCTGATCTAATCCAACCTCAAATAATCTAAACCTAATAATTTTTTTTATTAAAAAAAACAAATGAAATAAAATGGATCTAAACAAAAATCTTATCCAAATCTCTCAGGGAAATCCACCTGCATCATTGCTATAGTTTTTAAACATCAATTTTCAAAATGGAAGCCCAAATTTATTCCATTTCTCACCCAAATGAATCATTAATTGGAGTTTCTTTTCATTTCTGGTACATATAGGGGCTTCTCTGCTATTTTAAATTATTTTCTACGTTTTAGATTATCTTTCCCAGTCAATGGTATGAGAGCAACCTATATTGACAAAAATTTCCAGTTCCACATTATGAGAATGCACTATTGACTTGTGACCTTGGCTTCCAAGTCCCAAACGGTGCAAGTAGTCTACACTTCTAGATGTAGACAAGTCAACAAGGCAACATTAAACCAATGCCAAGTCTTTCCTCTTGCTCGTCCAATTGCATTCGTAATTATCAGATTTGAAAGGGTCAAATTGGCAAAGCTACTGACTTAAAGTTATTTGATTTTATTAGTGGTTGAGTTGTTTCACTTAATGTTATATTTATACGCAAAAGTTTTTTTTTTTTTTTTGAAGTAAAAGTGATTTTACGTGTGAATAGTTTCTTTACTTATTTTCATATTATGCATTTGTTTAATTTTAATATAACAGATTTAATTGTTAATCAATACATTATTGCATAATTAATTACATACATAATCATCCTCATAATCCCCCCCCCCCGGGGGGTTAATTTTAAATTTCCCACCTTGCATTTTTGATTATGCAATAATTAAAATTTCACATTTTCAAATATAATTTAAAAAATGTATATTTTAATTATGCAATAATAGATTGTCTGGAAATTTTGATTATCAAGTATGCATTAATTATCTTAATAACTAAAACTCTATTAATTATTAAATTCTATGTTTGCACACTTTTAACGATAATATAAAGTGGTGATTCATTTATTAGTTTTCTTTTTAAGTGACGAATGGATTTCTATATAAACAATAAAGTGGAAAAGAAATACATATGGATCATGCCGAGACTGCATCATCAGATATTGTTGAAGATATAGCGCCAAAATAAAAGTAATTTTGAAGTAGTTGAAACAGACACTCAACACAGATAGCTTGGTTAACATGCATCACACATAAATAACATATATCTAAGCAAAACCATTCTATAGGGGATTTAGAAGGTTATGTATTTCATATCAAAACTTCTAGACAAAATTGTAATCAACTTGAAGTTTATTTAAGAAGTTCAAAGTAAACCCCAACCCCACCCCCACCCCCCCCCCCCCCCCCCAAAAAAAAAAAAAAGAGCTGAAGAGGTTAAAATTGTGTGATATAGTCAAGGTTGGTCATACTCTAACCCAATATTTGTAGATATTGTAACTCTTGGAGAACTACACCAAGTACTCTTGAACATTTTCGGTCTCCATATGTGTGTGACTATCTTAAATTCACACCTATCCTTGTCATGAAACATTATTTAATTTAATCTCTTTAAATTAAAAATCACATAACTCTTTTTATATTGTCATTATCAAATACTTTGTCCGTACAAATCATGAGTGACATCTAGCTTCATGTAATAATCGTTAGGATTATTTCGAGAGTGAGTAAATACTTCCATCATAGATATTGTTCAATTCAATTTATCTCTCAAACATCCCATGGTTAGAATTGTTAAGGTATGATTTTCAATGTCAAAATTCCAGTTCCAATAATCACGCACCAATCGTGAGATTTATGACTCAGTGTATGATTTTAAAACTCTGTTCCAGTCCATTCCCACTGGGGCCATAAACTTTTGGAATGATAATCCCTATTGATCATACAAGGCATCTCTCCGCTTGCATTAATGACAAATCCTTCATTGAGCATTCACAAACTTTACAGGTAAGAGAACTTTATAGGGTAGACTGTACTAGTTTGAACTAACAGTACACTACTCATATAGTACCAAAAAGATTTTACGTTGGATTTCTGAATGTTTTCAAATATGTTTTTGTGATCCCTATGAAGTTATATTTGAAAATGTGAAAAAATGGGCTTCATTGCATACTATGATTTTTGAGGATTATGGGCTTGCTACTTTGAAACCTAAAAATCATGTTGATGTTTTAAAATTAATTTAGTTGTATATATATACAAGGTAATTCAGTTGCGAAACCATTTGAAGCATTGGTAATATCAATTATGCCAAAATGGATTGCCTCATCATTTGTTTATTTCGCCTCAGACAAATTCTAAACTCCAACTCACCCCTCCAAAAATCAAAATAATAAAAAGGTTGAATTAGAGTGTTTACGGATTTTCTTTGGATTTGAATGACACTAGCACTGCAGTTGACTAAGATTTCAAAATCAAGACAAATATCAGTAGAACACATGAATTTTATATAACCCAATTAAAAACAGCTTTTTACTGTGAAATAAATTTTCATTTGGCCAAAGGACACAAATTGTATTATCCTTCTAAATTCGGGGCAGCCAAACACATGCATGCTCACAAAATCTTATTCGGAATATATTAAACTATCTCTGTCTTTCCATATTTGTTATGCTCTACGCGCTACAAATCATGGCATATTTTGAGATTGCAAAATTGGAAGAAAGCTGGTATTTAGGCTGTTTGTCTGGAGTGAAAAGGCCAAAATGTTCCTCGGTCTCAGGCCCCGGCTTCTCGTCCTCATCAAACATGGCAAAAAGGTAGGTTTCAATAGCCTTCCCAGGCCTCTTTGGGGTCCCTCTCGTTCCCTTAACATGATTTATCAAATTGCTGTAGTAAGTTTGTGCGTTAGCCACGCTTGCGTCTGCACCTCCGGCTGAAGGCCATCCAGTCTCCGACACAACAATTTCCACATTAGATCCACCCTCACTCTCAACAGCAGAGTAGAAGGCATCCAACATGGCATCAAACAGATTTGTGTACGTACCATTGGGTTGGCCTTTGAACAAGGCAAAGTCAAGAGGGACGCTGCTCGGGTTACCAATGCGGACGAAGTACGGGAAGATCTTGGCTAGAAACGGAGCATTGTTTTGGACAAGAAAGCTGATGATTGGCTTTATGAAGAACTTGACGTTATCCTTAAAAGCAACATCCGCAGAAGGATACGAGAAGTCTATAAGATCTATGGATGAGGTAGTTGAAACCTTAATTTGGCCTTGCAAGTTGACGGCTTCAAGTGCATTGTAAACGTTTTGCATGGCCCAGAGAACAAAAGGGGCTGTAACGGACTTGGGGCCGACCTCGTTTCCCACAGAGATGTAGCGAAACTTGATGTCCGATGAGTAGGCCACCACATTGTTTTGGACCCATTGCACTGCCGCCGAGTAGTTTCATGCCAGAAGTTCTAGGCTAACATTTGGAACTTCAAGTACAAGCTCTATGTTGGATCCTTTAAGGGCGTTTAAAAACTGCTTCAATCGGTGAGTACATTCTCATTCTTCCGATGCGATTGGATTTGTAGAGTTGCACAACTTGTTCGGATGGCAAAATGTTGCCCATCAATTGTCCGTAGCACACGCCTATGGATTGTGCATCTGCAGTTCTTCAACCAGATATGTATGAATTGATTTTGGATTTTTTTATAACTTAAAACAAAACCAAAGCTTTTAGTGTACAAATTAATTAAACACAAATCTCCCTCCTACTGAAGGAGGGAAGGACAGGCGTTTAAATCTTGTCATGGTCGCCTCTCCAAACTCTGCCAGATAGGAACCTTATGTTGCACCACGAGGGTAAAAATTTGATTTGGTTAGTTATCTAATATTTTATTATTACATGGTTCAAATTGAATCTAACAAAAAATAAAGTCTAAATTATTATTTGAGTAGGATAACTTTATCATGGATGGCCCTATATCTTTACTCCCAAACTGAACAAGGCCTATTACAAGATAGTTTTTTATCCAAATATCTCACTCCAAATTATAGTATATTTCCAAAATGTAAAAAGAATAATAAGATGGTCATATTCGTATCTCTAATAAAACATTAAAATAAGCAAAACAGTAAGCGAATTCATATATTTCAAATGTAGAAAAGCGTTTTTATAAAATTGCAAGCCAAAAATCTTTTCAGCATATCTTGTGTATACATGTGAGAGAGAGAGAGAGAGAGAGAGAGAGAGTGAGAATTGGGAACCTGTTAAGTAAATGCAGGGCGACGGTAACAGGAGTAGCAGAGACAGAACCAAAAAGGGGCTGTGAGAAATAGCAGTGGAGAGGGCCATTTCAGATGAGAAAAGCTAGCACTAGAATTTCTATAGTTGATGCAAAAGATTGTTACTTGAATGGCCTTATATAGATGTAACCACCAAGAAAATTAGCATTCAGAGCGTCCCTATCTTTTACTGTGTCAAATTTTCCCCGACAACTTTCCAGCGGCTAATTGAATATTTTGGGCTACTATGACAGCTATAAACCACGAGCATTTGCCCAATAGTCACGTTAAAGTTATTCTTGGATGCATTTGGGGAGAAACATTGAAAGGAAAAATAAATAAAATAACAGGAGATGGGATTATTTTGATTTCATTTGAAAAAAATTAAGTGTTTTCATTTATGTGGGTGACAATTGAGAGTTGGAGGGGGACAATATGCAGTGGAAAAGTGAGTCAGATAGATTTGAAGGAAATGAAATTTTTATTTTTTCTACCAAAAAGGTAATGCACACTTAAAAAGATTCTATTTTCAATTACGAGAGTTTCATGTTAACCAAGAGATAGAAAGATGAAAAGAAGAAATTTTAGATGGAGAAAGAAAAAAATTAAGTATTTTATATATACATATACATATACATATATATATAATGAAATTTTACATGAATATATACACAGACAAAACATTGAGAGGATAAGAAATCTAGACTGGGAGATGTCAAAAATTAGATATTAAAGATAGAAAATCCAGATTGACAGATGTCAAATCTAAACCGAGGAAACCATGCATGAAAAGAATATTTTGCAATGTCATGCCATAAATCACAATATAAAGAGTATAAATTTGAAATGTTATTAGATAGGTGACATTTCATTATATCTAAAATCCTTTTTGTCCTATTATATGTTGAAAATTTTAATTAAATTTTGTGCTTTACAAGTGAAATCACTCTTTTGTGCGACATTTTGTTGTTTCATTTCTTTTTCTAAGAAAATTAAATTTCCCTTCAAGCGGATTAAAACATTAAATAATAACAAATTAAAAAAATAAATATATTATTCATTTCTTATTTTTTTCATTTTCGTACATATTTTTAAAATCATTTTTAGTAGTTTTAAAAATTAATAGAGTGTGATATCATAATTTTATGTCATAACTAAGTTAAATTGAATTCTTTTACCTAAGAATTGCTTTTTGTTTCACCAAATCGGTCTTGAAAACAATCATTTAAGATGCAAGTGGGAAATGACGATTGTGGGTTCACTTATTTTTCAAAATACTGAAATTCCTTTTTGTATATTTCTTTTTTAGAAATTAAAACATATTATCCCATGGATGTTATTTTTTCCTATTCCGAAAACATGAAAAGGTAAACCTGAATGAAAAGTGGACTATTTATAATAATCTGTTTCATTTTCTTTTGTAATACCTGTTTTTGACGTATAAAAAAGAAATGCATACAAAATTATAGTTCGCAAATTATTCTTTAAAACTATTTTTAAAATAACAATTTAATATCTAGAAATTACAATTAAATTTTCCTCTTCATAGAAGTCCAAAGGAGAGCAAGGTGGCTTATATCAGTGGAAACAAAAACAAAACTATTCAATGGCCAATTTGCTACGATTGGTGGCGTACATGCATGAGGTTTGGCGGTCTGCGTCAACCGTCTCTCTTCCAATTTGGACGCGTCTTCTTCAGAAGTCAACAGCCTCTCTTTCCAGGACATGCATCTGATAATACGTCAAGAGTGCAACAGGATAGACGTCCACAACAGGCTGGGCTCTCCCTTAATTTCCTGTTCCGCCATTGATAAAGATAGCGACCAAACCTCACCAGTCGGTAGTCCAACATGGGGAAACTCACCAACAGTCACATGATATAACTTGATCAAACCTTGCTTCTCTATTCTTATTTATGACTGTTAAGGTTGTAATTTTATTCGGTCACATAAACTTTATGCAACTCTACTCTTAACAAAACAAATTCAAATATTACATGATACTCATGTTAGATTGATTTTTGAGCATAATATTATATGTTATATGAAATTCTTGAAAGTTATTATTGAAAAATTTGAATTTAAGTATTTTGAATAAATGATAATTTAAACTCAACAAATAATTAAAACCAATAACACCTAAATTATTACGAATGATATCAAAATAAACAATTCTTAGATCTATTTTCTTTCATCATATTTAGATACAAATACAAAATAACGGTTTAATGAAAATGTCAAGTATTTAAATAAAAGAGATTGTAATATTCTATCATATATTAGTTTCTAGTGACATCATGTAATAAGACTTTAGAAATTATTATTAAGTAACTTTTATTTAAATATTTTGATCCAATTGTTAGCTAATAACTCTTAGAACATTACGTACTATATCATATGTTAAACTTATCTAGAGTTAATCATGTCGTTTTAAATCTACCAAAGAAATTTGGTATTTGATGTAATGGAACAGGCTTCCTATTTCTCTTTTAATTATTTATTGTGTAATGACTAATTTTAGTGGCTCGATCGACTTTTGCACACGCACTCTTTTTTTTCTTTCCTTATTTTTTATAGAAATAAGTTATTGAGGTTAAATTGTTAATTGAAATAAAAATAACATCAATTTAAAATATAATTTTAGAAGATATCACATTCTTGTAATGTAATTTCTGTAGATTTAGAAAACAAAAAAGAAAAAACGCATATGAGCATTAACCGCACTATTTTTCTAATCATATAATTTGTTAAATTTTTATTTAATTTACATTATTTATTTACTTAAGTAATAAAAACAGCATTTTACATAAAAAACAGCTATAAACCATGACCACTTGCCCAATAGTCACGTTAACGATAAGAATTGAAAGGATAAATAAATAAATAAAATAAAATAAAACGTGATGGGATTTTTTTGATTTCATTTGAAAAAATTTAAGTGTTTTTATTTACGTGGGTGACAATTGAGAGTTGGAGGGGAACAATATGGAGTGGAAAAGTGAGTCAATAGACTCGAACGAAATTTTTAATTTTTCTGCAAAAATGGTAATGCACGTTTAGAAAGATTTTATTTTCAATTATAAGAGTTTCATGTAAACCAAGAGATAGAAAGATGAGAAGACGAAATTTTTTGATAGAGAAAGTGAAAAAAATTAAGTATTATATATATATATATATAATTTGAAATTCTATAAGAATATATGCATAGGCAAAACATTGAGGGATTAGGAAATCCAGATTGAGAGATGTCAAAAATTAGATATTAAAGATAGAAAATTTAACCGAGGAAACCATGCAGGATAAGAATATTTTACAATGTCATGCCATAAATCTTGATATAAAGGGTATAAATTTGAAATTTCATTAGATAGTCGATATTTTATAATATCTAAAATTTTTTCTCCTATTATATTTTGAAAATTTTAATTAAATTTTGGCATTTACAAGCGAAATCACTCTTTGTGTGACTTTTTATTGTTTCTTTTCCTTTTCTAAGAAAATTACTATTTCTTTCAAGTGGATTAAAGAATTAAACACAAAATTAAAAAATTATATATATATATATTCATTTCTTTTTTTTCACTTTTTTCCATATTTTTGAAATTATTTCCAGTAGTTGTAAAAATTAATAGAATGCGATATCATAATTTTATGCCATAACTAAGTTAAATTGAATTTTTTTTACCTAAGAATTGTTTTTTGCTTTGCCAAATCGGTCTTGAAAACAATATTTAAAGATGCAAATGGGAAATGAAGATTATGGGTTCACTTATTTTTCAAAATATTGAAATTCCTTTCTGTATTCTTTTTTTTTTTTTCTAGAAATGAAAACATATTATCCCATTGATGTTATAATTTCCTATTTACGAAAACAAGAAAAAAGTAAACCTTAATTAAAAGTGGACTCTTTATGATAACCTGTTTCATTTTCTTTGTAATATCTGTTTTTGACAGTATAAAAATGAAATACTTAAAAAATTACATTTCACAAATTATTCTCGAAAACTATTTTTGAAACAGTAATTTAATATCTAGAAATTACAATTAAATTTTCCTCTTCATAAAAGTCCAGGGAAAGCAAGGTGGCTTAATAAGAGGAAACAAAAAGAAAACTCTTCAATGGCCAATTTGCTACGATTGGTGACGCACACGCATGAAGTTTGGTAGTCTGCGTCGACCATTTCCCTTCCAATTTGGACTCGTCTTCGCCAGAAGTCAACAACCACTCTTTCCAGGCATGCATCTGACAATAAGTCAAGAGAGCAACATATACACTGCTAGAAAAAACATAATCAGTGATTATATCAACAACCACTTTCTTGACTTCTGTCTTCGCTAGAAGTCAACAACCACTCTTTCCAGGCATGCATCTGATAATAATTCAAGAGAGCAACAGTATACACTACTAGAGAAAGCATAATTAGTGATCATAAATTAGTGATCGAAGGAATAGGTCACTAATTAGTAACCAATTAGTGACTTATTAGTGACCGATTAATACTCATTTTTTGGAAAAAAAATAATTGATTTGTGATTGATTTGTGATCGATTTTGTGACCGCAATTACTTCGATTAGAAAATTGGTCAGAAAATTAGCGACCGCTACTATTTTAGTTACGAAATGATCATTAATTAGTGACCGCATCTAAATCAGTTACAAAATGGGTCACCAAGTAGTAACCCTCTTTTGGTGAGTCACAAAGAGGGTTGCAAATTTGGGCATGGATTTTACAATTGGTCACTGATTAGTAACCTTTATTTTGGCAGTTAGAAATAGATCACTAATTCTTGACCCTGATTTTGGCAGTTATAAAAGGAGTCACTAATTAATGACCCTCCTTTAGGCGATTACTACTGGGGTCACGACTTGATCAAATGATCTTTTACTACAGTCACTAATTAGTGACCCAACTCAAGCGGTTTCAAAAAAGGGTCACTAATTTATGACCAACTTTTATTGGTCACAAATCGGTTAGTAATAAATTTTTCCTGTAATTAAATATTTAGCTCACCAAGAGGGACCATTTTAGTTACGAGTATATCTCTGTTTAGTTACAAGCATGCCTTTGTT